CTTAGCCGTCACTCAAGGATTATTGTCCACTGCCACTTGTCCAATGTCTGAAATTAGTTGTTTCATATATTTTGTCCAGTTTTCTCGTTGCTTAAGGCAAGAGAGAAAACTCATTCCTGTTAGTCCATTTTGACTAGAAGTGGGAATTCCATTACGTATTTTTGGAAGATTTTCATAAAAGGTTATTAAAAGAAAAAGACATCTAAATATTTTAATGGTTTAACTTCAGCTATGTGGGAAAACACACTTATAGTGACAATGTATTTAAGCATGATACAAAACTTTAATAATATTTATTATCTTATTATTATATGTCATATGTTATGGTAAATATTAAATTTCTATTAATTTAGTTAATTTTTTCTCTAACTTCTCTGAAGTTAATGATTTGATTATTTCCATTCACATATGGGAAAACTGAGACACAAATAGACTAGGTGATCAAAATATACAGGGCAAGTAAGTAATAAGCTGCATTTTAAAAACAGTTATTCTCTATTTAGAGGGTACATTATTGACTAATACACTATAAAATACTTCCTCAAGAAAGTGTTACAGTGTGATTTCTGTAATGTTAACAGAAATTAGGAACAACTTTAACTTATTGGCTAGTTTCACTTTTCAAAACTAATTTCTCATTAACATGAAGTTTTAAAATGATGTAACGTCTTTTACTCTTTGAATGATGTGTAACCAAATATTTGTATGTATGCATGCAGTTTCCCTAGATGAGGATATATAGGAAAAAAATTCCCCAGTTTCTTTAATGGAGTTGAAATTTATATTTTTGGTTTATAAGCAATTATCAATTGTATTAATCAAAAATATAATCATTAATAGATGAAGAAATTAATTTGCATGTTTTAGTTAGGCACATTTAATCTGTCATAGCATTTTACATGAAACTCTTAGCATACATTCTTGAAGTAATTTTTGGATAGCTTTGTAACCATGTAATTTCCTAGTCTATACAAGACCATCATTAGTATTTGAATATATTAGGTATTCTAGATAAAGTCTTAATTTGATCATATATTTGATTTTTAATATGGTGATCCAAATGTCTTTATGATGTAGAAATATTGTATTTACAAATGCCATGAAGCATCACCTCACCTCAGGTTTTAGAGAAGAACATACATTCAGTAAGTTTCAAACTTTTTTTATTTTGATTTTTCAGATTGCATTCTCACAACACAATACAATCATGGATCTTGTGCAGTTTTTTGTCACCTTCTTCAGGTAATTTACTTTTACCGACTTTGAATTTGTTAAGCCTATATTCTGATACATGGCCTGTCAATCTATTAGATAATTTAGCAATTATTTCACCTTAAAATATCATATATCATGTCTTGAATAGTTTTCTGTACTTACATATAGACCACAGAGAGAAAGAACATATCGGAAATGTATAAGATTATTTGACTGTTGCACTATATAATGGCTAATGGGTGCAGTGGAAAGAGAATAACTCTTTGTCCTCCTGCTTTAATTAATGAAATTAACAGTGCATGTACCTCATGGATTAATTACATCTACAAGAATTAAATCAATTCAATTCTTTCTTAGGTAATTATCATAAGTGCTCAGCAACTTGCTAAAGTCTGTGTTGAATAAGAGAAAGTATGTATTTTCTATCCTGAAGGAATTTGTAGTCTGGAAGTACTATATGTGATTTTGAATAAAGCATAATTTCCCAGAACATTAGTTGTGTGAGATATTAATAATAGGTTCATATTAAAGGGTTCTATAATTAAACAACTTTTGAAAATCCTATGTATACTAAAGTTAAATAGGATTCTTTTGGTTGGTTTTTGACAGACATTATTCTTGAGAGTTTTTAACATGCTAATTTGCAATGTATCTTTCTAAAAGAGAGGGTAGAGTTTATAGCATTTCTCAAAACATGAAAACTCTTTTTAGAGAACATTTATTTTCATTTCCTTGGGCTGTATAAAGAAACACTGGGTTAGGGGTAAAAAAAAAAAAAAAAAAAAAAAAGCTGAGTTTCAGTGATAGAATATCTGTGTTGCGGAATCAGAGATCCTCTGGATTGGAAGAGATGTTTTTTTGTTAACATTGTTATGGATGCGTACAGTTTATGCCGGTCCTTTGGGTCCCTCTGAGCAAATTACACAAATGTGACTGCTCCTTCTGGTAAGCATAGCCACACATCATGGCACACAACTTTGAAAACAGAGCTCTGTATGAATTTTGACCAATACTCACCCACTTGGCTGGGCAGACATATACAATAAATCCAACAAATACAACTCAATCCTTGATATAGATGATGTGTCAGGCACTTTCCTAAACACCAAGTAAACATTATCTTGTCGGTTGTCTTGTCCAGACACACATAGAATGCTTGAATTCCTAAGACCCTCTCCATATGACTCTGTAAACATTTTCTGTTAAGGACCAGTTTTTAAATATTTCAGGACTTGTGGGCTCCTTGGTTTTTGTTCCATCTACAAAGCTCTCCAGCTATAGTGCTAAAGCAACCAGAGCCAATATGGTAACAATTGGGAGTGGCTGTGTTCCAATAAAACTTCATTATAAAAACCTCTGGTGGGTTGGATTCAGCCTGTGGACATAATTTGCCCAACCCCTGATATAGTTTATGCCTGAATGCCTTTAATGACAGGAAACTCACTAGCTCCTAATATAGCATGTTGTATCATCAGATAACTAATTTTTCTTTATCATTGAGCTTAAATCTATCTGTCTGTGGTATCTCTCCTAATTTATCCATATGGGCCCATACATAACAATTCTAACCCCTCATCTCCAGCCCTTAAGATTTTTAAACTCTTTTCTCCAATTTACACATTCCCTGTACATTTATCCACTTATTTTGTCAAAGCCTTTGTCATATTGGTCACTTTGCTCTGAAAACAATCATGTTTGTCTATGTCTCTTAAAAATTATAATTTCTATAATTTAATGCTATAAATGTATTTATCACTGATATATGTAGAAAGTATATTCATACTTTAAATTTGTTCCTTAAAAATGAAATTGGAGGAAAAACCTTAAGTATATCTAATGTTTTATGACTTTGTACTTCAGGATATAAATGAATTTTAAGGCTATTACCCAAGTTACAGTATGTTTTTAGAAAGTACTAGAGGTTACAATTGAATGAGCATTATTTAATGCGTTAAAAATGAAACAATATTTTCATGCAGAATCATGTGGATGGAAATTCACTGAAAAGTTCAATTATGTGTAAAAATTCACAAAGCTGAATATATATGTAAATTATTTAAATGTTTAGGGTGTATTTTAAGCTTTTGAATTTGCGTGCATATTTAACTTCAATAGCTCTTTTATTAAATAAAAGAAAGCTAGTATTAATATGTACCATGTCTTAGAGATGATCCTATTTACTAGGTTGTCATCATTGGCAATGTGAAATAAAATATTCTAATCATTGTGTGAGATAAAATATATTTGATAGGTTTTTTGTCATTTAAATTTCTTCCAGTAGTGAAATGTAAATTAGATCATTTAAAAATCATCTCATTGTTAAAAAAAATGGATTGAATATTTTGAAGTTTATTAATTATTAATTTTTGTAAGGCCACTGCTAAATTATAAAAGATTTTTTAAATAGGTTAGCATTTATGGATACCCTTCAATCAGGCCATTATTGCTGCTATTGCTGTTTCTAATGAAGTTATTGGGGTAACAGAGGTGAATGTGTCACCTTTTCAGTTTAGCCATAGCTCTGTGGTGGCAAGTTCTCCAACTCCATGTCATTTTTTTAACTGTATATTGTGTATTGTTCTGGTGGTAAACATGGTTGGGCTGGTACTGGGAAGATTGTTTATAGACATGGCTCTGACCTTAGCTTTTTGTGCCACCTTAAGTAAGGCACTGTCTTAGTCCATTTATGTTGCTATAAAGGAATACCTAAGTCTGGGTAATTTATAATGAAAAGAGGTTGATTTGGTTTACAGTTCTGCAGGCTGTTCAAGAAGCATGGTGCCGACATCTGCATTTTGTGAGGGCTTCAAGTTATTTCCACTCATGGCAGAAAGGGAAGGGAAGCTGATATGGGCAGAGACCACATAGCAAGAGAGGAGGCAAGAGAGAAAGGAGGGAGGTGCCAGACTCTTTTAAACTAGCTCTCTTGGTAACTAGTAGAGAAAGAATTCACTAATTACCACAAGGAGGGCACCAAGCCATTCTTGAGGGATCTGTCCCTCTCTTCCCCTCTCAACCCCAAAATACCTCCCATTAGGCTCCACCTCCAACACTGGGCATTAAACTTCAACATGAAGTTTGGAGGGTCAAATATCCAAACTATTGCAATCACCTAGCTTCTCTAAATCTATTTTTTCATACATTGAATTTAAAGATTTTTGTTGCTATTAGAGTGTATAAAATAACATAGTAAATGATTAGAAAACTGAAAGGAATTATTTAAAGAAACTCTTCCTTTCTCTGGTTTAAAAAATAGAAAATTAAGTGTGTCTGAGTCACAAAAGTCTGAATTATTTATTTTAAAGAAATAAACTAAATGAAGACATGGTAGAGACCACTGCCCCTGTACCTTCTAGGTTTTTAATGGTTGTACTAATTTTCACCATACCACTGGGATGATATGATATTTTTTATTTACTGCCTTGTCTACATGGGGGTGTTTTCAGAGGTTGCCACTTGGTCTTTTCCACTATGACTGATCTTACTCTATAAGCCAGGGACACAATGTATGGGTTACTCTAACTATCTTGTGCATCAATTTTAATTATAAACTCAGTGACTGGGGAAATGACCCCTGGGTGGATCCATAGACACAGTTGGTGCACTGTGAGCCAGGATTTAGTCAGAATTTGTTATCTTCCACCCTGCCTCCCCTACCTGCCAGACACCTGAACTCTAAAAAGTTCATTTTGAGTCCTTGGGTATCTATGTCACCTCTAACCTCATGTACAATAGTACTCAGAATGTGCTTATTCCCCTTGCACTGTGTATGTCCCCATGTGTATACCTGTATAAATACTCATGCATATGGTGTAGATCTCTTCAGGGATCATTTTATCTACTTTTCAAGATGTTTTAGGATCCTCCCTTCTATGGACCCAGCCACCTCTTTAATCAGTGGGTTCTGGATTTGAAAATTAGCCCAAGTCTGTGAACCGAGCAGAGAGGATCATGACTTTCTATTGAGGCAACCACCTTTAGCCTCCTGTTCCTCTGTTCTCACTTAAAATACCAAAATACTCTCCCCACCTATTTTGCCCTTCAGGATACTATGTTTTATTAATCATCCCTACAGCTCTTTATGGGTCAACCCCTTGGCAGATCCTCCAATCTTGTTGATCTAATTATGGTAATTGTGGCTTCTAGGTTTTGGCAGTTAAGGCCTGACACCTATCCCCTATTACTTTGGGCCCCCTCCTCGCCCCCATCACTTTATGGCTATTAACAAATCTAGTCTTGTGAGTGTCTCTCCTATTTTCAGCTCTTGTATGTAGTAGAAACCCAACTCTAAATTTATTTATAATGCCTGTGCCCCTCTGATCAGCATATTCCTAATGACCTCAGTGAATGGTGTATTCTCTGGGCCCTCCCATGGAACATGACCTTCTGATAGTACTTTTGGCTTTATATAATTTGAGCCACTCCAGCATATTCCTTTCTCTTGACTTTTTTATTCCTTTATCTTCAATATGCCAGAGCAACTCAGGCACTTCAATTTCACTTTGTATTGGCCATGGCATTTTTCAGGCTTCTATGCATTACTCTAGCAACAGGTTTGCTCTATTCCCTGGAGTTCTTAGTCGTGTATTAAATCTCCTGTGCTCCTCTAAATATGCACCAAAATCAATGAACTTTTTGTTTATTTAGTCTTATGTTTCATTTCTCTTGATCAAATATCACAAACTCCAAATCTGGTCATACTCCCATGGCTCTTGCCAGTAAATGCTAGCTAATTCTTGCAGCTGTTTCAAGTGTGTAGTATATTTTCTCTCTTATCAGGCTCAGTTGGGTTATACTTGATTAAACTCTATTATCAGTCTGGCAACCAATGGAGGAAGTGGGACAGCTTGTGAGGAGAGCACCTGTTGCCTCAGAGAGAAGAGAGTTTTTCAGTGTCTTCCAGCCTGACAAAAGTGCTAGTTATTACTAGGGAAGGCAGCTGTAGAACCAACATCCTCAGAAGCATCCATCCAGATATTCCTGTCCCATATTTCAGTGTCCCAGGTCTTCCTAACTATGATCCTTTT